TTGAGGAAAAAAAACTATATTTTTGACTTTTTGCTATTAAACATATCCAGCAAAATTTTTTTTAAAAATCAAATTTCGTCATAAATGTAGGCCAAAAATCCCAATACCTGTAAATTAATTGGTTTATGTGAAAGTTATAGCATTTACAAATGGCGGTATATATACTGGGATTTTTTTCTTTTACTAGTAATGACGGCAATCAGCTACTTATAGCGGTACTGCGGCGGACATTCTGACACTGGGGGGAACTGACATCCCCAGTGACACCAATACAGTGATCAGTGGCTAATAAAAAGCACTGACACTGTACTAATGGCACTGGGCAGGAAGGGGTTAACATGTGGGGCAATCAAAGGGTTAACTGTGTGCGGTGTGTGTTTTACTATGGGGGCTGTGTCTGTGCTTTCCACTGTAAGCACACTGCTTTGTATGGTTCTGCTATGCAGAGCCATACAAAGCAGTGTGCTGGAGCTGACAGGGAGAGAACTGTATTGTTTACATACAGTTCTCTCCCCCCGTTGGTATTACTTGGTGCTCACTGATTGACAGCCTAGGCCACGAATGGAGGCATGGCTCGTGCGCGCCCCCGACCCGGAAATGCAAAATAACATATATATATATAAGTGATTTTCTGCTCTCCTGCCACCCTGTAGAAGTATTTCTGTTATAGGGCAGTGGTAAAGCACCCTCAGTGGGGAAATGTGCCTCCCCTAAAGGGTATCTGTACAATCTTATCAATGTATGAACCACTCGTCAATATATAGTTTCGTGAGGTTGACGCCTTTCACATAAATTGCTTCTTCAGGACCTCCTTTCTTGAAAGAGAGAGTGAATGGTTTATACAGTATCTCACAGAAGTGAGTTCAACCCTCACATAATTGTTAATATTTGATTCTATCTTTTCATGTGACAACACTAAAAAATGACACTTTGCTACAATGTGACATAGTGAGTGTACAGCTTGTATAACATGTAAATTTGTTGTCCCCTCAAAATATCTCAACACACAGCCATTAATGTCTAAACCGCTGGCAACAAAAGTGAGTCCACCCCTAAGTGAAAATGTCCTAATTGGGCCTAAAGTGTCAATATTTTGTGTGGCCGCCATTATTTTCCAGCACTGCCTTAAACCTCTTGGGCATGGAGTTCACCAGAGCTTCACAGGTTGCCACTGGAGTCCTCTTCCACTCCTCCATGATGACATCACAGAGCTGGTGGATGTTAGAGACCTTGCGCTCCTCCACCTTCCACTTGAGGATGCCCCACAGATAGTTAACAGGGTTTAGGTCTGGAGACATGCTTGGCCAATCCATCACCTTTACCCTCAGCTTCTTTAGCAAGGCAGTGGTTGTCTTGGAGGTGTGTTTGGGGTCGTTATGTTGGAATACTGCCCTGTGGCCCAGTCTCCGAAGGGAGGGGATCATGCTCTGCTTCAGTATGTTACAGTACATGTTGGCATTCATGGTTCCCTCAATGAACTGTAGCTCCCCAGTGCCGGCAGCACTCATGCTGCCCCAGACCGTGACACTCCCACCACCATGCTTGACTGTAGGCAAGGCACACTTGTCTTTCTACTCCTCACCTGGTTGCCACCACACACGCTTGACACCATGTGAACCAAATCAGTTTATCTTGGTCTCATCAGACCACAGGACATGGTTCCAGTAATCCATGTCCTTAGTCTGCTTCAACACATTGTGGGCTGTTTTGTGCATCATATTGAGAAGAAGCTTCCGTTCTGGGACGACAGCCATGCAGACCAATTTGATGCAGTGTGCGGCGTATGGTCTGAGCACTGACAGGCTGACCCCCCCACCCCTTCAACCTCTGCAGCAATGCTGGCAGCACTCATATGTCTATTTCCCAAAGACAACCTCTGGATATGACACTGAGCACTCACTCAACTTCTTTGGTGGACCATGGCGAGGCCTGTTCTGAGTGGAACCTTTCCTGTTAAACCGCTGTATGGTCTTAGCCACCGTGCTGCAGCTCAGTTTCAGGGTCTTGACAATCTTCTTATAGCCTAGGCCATCTTTATGCAGAGCAACAATTTTTTTTTTCAGATCCTCAGAGAGTTCTTTGCCATGATGTGCCATACTGAAATTCCAGTGACCAGTATGAGAGAGTGAGAGCGATAACACCAAATTTAACATACCTGCTCCCCATTCACACCTGATACCTTGCAACACTAACGAGTCACATGACACCAGGGAGGGAAAATGGCTAATTGGGCCCAATTTGGACATTTTCACTTGGGGTGTACTCACTTTTGTTGCCAGCGGTTTTTACGTTAGACATTAATGGCTGTGTGTTGAGTTATTTTGAGGGGACAGCAAATTTACACTGTTATACAAGCTGTACACTGACTACGTCACATTGTAGCAAAGTGTCATTTCTTCAGTGTTGTCACATGAAAAGATAGAATAAAATATTTACAAAAATATGAGGGGTGGACCCACTTCTGTGAGATACTGTATATTGTTTCTAAGAACCTGGCACATACAGCGTGGCGGTAACCAATGATAATGCTATGCCCCAATTCTTTTCCCGTTGAGGGTATTTTTCTATAAGTGATTAGGATGTGGTACAAAAATTGGGAGCCTAATGCAGGCCATTGACGGGAGAAAACCGGCCGAAAATTCGTCCAAAAGAATAGTCGGCCAATTTTCGGATCATTAGTGGCTGAATTGGTCGGCCGGTTTTCTTGATTTTGACACATTTTTTTTATCGGTAATGTTGGAAAAAAAAACGTCCGATTTTCACGGCAATGATGGGCAAATCGGCTGATCTTTTTTACCGATTAAAAAAATGCGCATGAGCCGTGACCAAAGAAAAAGAAGAACATCTGTATCTATTTGTATCCATTTTGGATACAGATGTTTCTATTCGGATACAAATAGATACAATGTTGCAACCGCAATACTTATAAATGTCAAATCTAATAGCGGTGTCCCTGCAGAGAGTTCCGCTATTATAGTTGACATTTAAAAGTATAGCGGTAGCAACATTGTATCTATTTGTATCCGAATAGAAACATCTGTATCTGAAATGGATACAAATAGATACAATGTTGCAACTTTGCTATACTTTTAAATATCAAATATAATAGCGGAGCTCTCTGCAGGGACACTGCTATTATGTTTGCTGGCCGTAGGCGGGATGAAAATCAGCCGATTTTTTTTTACCAATGGTGGTAACGTTGGTCGATAGAACGACCGATTTTTCGTTTGTTTTTTTTTTTTTTAAAACGGCCGGTTTTCTCCCCGTCTATGGCCTGCATAACTATATGTTAGTACATTATAGTATTTTTTTTTAATGTAACAAACAATTATCATTTACCTACAGCATGGGTCATCCACTGATATATCCCAGTTAGAAGCACTATTTACTTGTGGAAGTTCTTTATTAATAGGTTGTAGGTAGGTGCCTAATATGCTAATAATAATATTTTGCCTTAAGCGTTAACAGTAGGTGCTGTGCCTCTACCAACTTGTATCATATCCTGCCTTTAGAGGAGTTAAAATACAGGAGGAGGTTGGCCCTGGTGGTCCATTTTGGGAAGTCATAGGTGGGACCATACACTTGGTGATGTAGTCATCTTTCTTACAGTGAAGCACCCTTTTGTGGGACCCTGGCATGGATCCAAGGACTGAGCTTTCTCTACACCTGGGACACCACTATACCTGCCCGATTAGAGCATAGGACCACAGCATAGGACTTGGGAATGTTATCTAATGTTTGCTATTGAGGATGTTGCACTTGTTTGTAGTTATTTCTCCTGAGAATGGTTGAGGACTGTTTGCAGGGATGCCTTTTAAGTAAATAAGTAACCAATTGACTGGTTCTTGTGAAGAAGAGACTGAATCCATAGTGAATATACATGGGAACAATGTGTACAACTTCAGGTTAACCTTTCAATTAAGGAAGTGACAGAAGGAGGAGCAGCCAGCTCGGGAGTGGGGATGCCAGTGGCCAGGTGACAAGGATTCTGTAGGTGGGATGGTCTGGCACATTAAGTACCCTGCCAAGTAGTTTGTTGGGCCCCTAAGTTAGGACTTGCTGCTGAACGGAATCATTTCTAGGGACCTGGCCTGGAGCCAAGGTGTACGAGGTCTCATGATATATACAGTGGCTCAAGTGGCGCAAGTTTACAAACTGAAGATGGTAAAGAGTTTAGTGTGAAGAGCTGGTGGAGAGAGACAGAGCTTTATGTCATCCCTCTGAAAATTGCTCTAGTAAGTGTTGGGCCAGGTGTCACTGGCAGGTAAAAGATGCTGTCCTTCTGAATTACTGAGTAAAGTAATCTGGCATTTAGCCATGAGGAACACTGAACCCAACAATGTTGCTAATAACATGCTTACAATGTGGTCTTATTTTGTCCATGGTTGTCCCTATACTTTTTACTTAAATGTCTTTATTTGATATACAAACCCCAGTCCAATTAATATTTCTTCACGTCACATGCAAGTAAATGTGTTCTGTAATAATGAAGGTCTATAACTGAACAAGTCCAGTTGAATGTGTCTGCTACTACTAGCTATACCATGACCTGGATAAGTGAGAACTTTCACAGACCTTACTTTTTTTTTCTCCTGTTGGAACCCACACAACACGCTCCAGAATAAACATTAGGCAATTGCTCACATATTAATTAGAATGAGTTTTATTAATTTTACACAATGGATTTGTTACAGAGCCTCAAGGGCAACAAGACGTAAGTTATGGCCTAGGTGCAGCAGGAGTAGCAAAAGTCAAAAGTTCACAGAATCAAATAGGATGCCAAAATTATGTTCTCTTCAGAGGACAATAGAAGAGGACAGCTACAGAAGCTTTATTGGGAATGCAAATATTGGCAGATATTGTTGAGTACTCAAATAAATGCTTCCAGAAATGTTACAGTAGCTACATGATAGGAAACATTTAGTGCTCTCATTATGAATGTAGGGTCTCAAATTTCAGTTTTGTTTTTATAGATTAGGGTTCTCCAAACTACAACCCACAGGCCCAGGGGGGACTGACAACTCATGAGGCCCCCGGGCCATAGGGGATCATGGGGCCCCTGTGCCCTTGCCCAAACTCAAAAAATCCTATGAAAAAGGTACCAGGGGCATCTCATTGGGCCCCTTACTGACCCCGGGCCCTCAGGCAGTGCCCAAGTTTCCAAATGGTCAGTCCGCCCCTGCACAGGCCACATCCTTCCCTTAGTTAGGGTCAGTAGAATTGCATGTGATGGGGATCCTGATGTAAGATGGGGATTCTGATGGGGACCGTGTTGTAGAAGGGGGACTCTGATGGGGGACCGTCATGTAAGCAGTGACCATAACATGATTTTATTTATTGTTAGCTGTAAACAGCAAGCAAATACGGGAAAAATAAAAATGCTCAATTTTAGGAGAGCTAATTTTCCAAGGCTGAGAGCTGCTCTCCAAGACTTAGACTGGGAGGGAATATTGGCATCGATGAACACAACACAGAAATGGGAGTTCTTCAAAAAGACTGTATGTGAACACACTGCTAAATATATTTCCATGGGCAACAAGTTTAAAAAGCTAAAAATGAAACCTATGTGGCTTAAGGACAAAGTTAGAAAACCTATAGATAATAAGAAAAGAGCTTTTATTAAATATAAAAATGAAGGAATGCCATCATCGTTTAAACATTACAAAGAATATAACAGAATATGCAAAAAGGAAATAAAGGCCACAAAAATTGAAAAGGAACGACAGATTGCAAAAGACCAATCCCAAAAAATTCTTATAGTAATTCTTAATAGTAAAAAGGTCCGGTCCGAACATGTAGGCCCTTTACAGAATAATCTAGAGTGGGTGACTGGGGACAAAGAGAAGGCAAATTTATTAAATACCTTCTTCAGCTCTGTGTATACAAAGGAGCATGGGGGAGCTCTTGTCCATAATGGGCATGGTATTGACACAGCTCCAGATGATCCATATTGGCTCACAATTGATATGATCCAAAAATATTTAGACAGAATAAAGGTGAATAAAGCTCCTGGACGGGATAGCATACACCCACGGGTCCTTAAAGAATTGAGCTTTGTCATTTCAAAGCCATTGTTTCTAATTTTTAGGGACTCTTTAATGACTGGCATAGTACCACTGGATTGGCGTAAGGCCAATGTGGTGCCAATATTTAAAAAGGGGTCACAATCTTTACCAAGTAATTATAGACCTGTTAGTTTAACTTCTATAGTTGGAAAGATACTGGAGAGTTTAATAAAAGTCCACATAGATGAGTTCTTGCTGGAAAAAAAAGACAGAAGTTGTCCAACAAATCTGATTTTTTTTTATGAGGAGGTGAGCAAAACCTTGGACAGAGGGGTGGCGGTGGACGTGGTATACTTGGACAGAGGGGTGGTGGTGGACGTGGTATACTTGGATTTTGCAAAAGCATTTGACACAGTTCCCTACACACGGCTAATGTGTAAGGTAAAGTCTACAGGCTTGGAAAAATCCATATGTAAATGGATAGAAAACTGGCTAAAAGATGGTATTCAGAGAGTAGCGGTTAATGATTCATACTCTGAATGGTTTAGGGTTGTTAATGGTGTACCCCAAGGTTCAGTGTTGGGATCCTTACTTTTTAATATATTTATAAACGATATAGGGTCTGGGATTAAAAATCCCATTTCAGTCTTTGCAGATGACACCAAGCTGTGCAGTGGAATAACGTCCTTAGTAGATGCTTCCAACTTACAAGCCGACCTCAATGCACTGTGTAATTGGGCAACTATGTGGCAAATGAGGTTTAATGTTGATAAATGTAAGGTGATGCACTTGGGGACTAAGAATATGCATACATCATACATACTGGGGGGGGACAACTGGAGGAATCAATGGTGGAGAAGGATGTGGGGGTTCTGGTAGATCACAAGTTTAATAATGGCATGCAATGTCAAGCTACGGGTTCTAAAGCGAGCAAAATCCTCTCTTGTATTAAAAGAGGTATAAACTCCAGAGAGAGATATCATATTACCCCGGTACAAATCATTAGTTAAGCCTCATCTGGAATATGCAGTTCAGTTTTGTGCACCAATTCACAAAAAGAACATTGGGGAACTGGAGAAAGTACAGAGAAGGGCAACCAAACTGATAAGAGGCATGGAGGAGATCAGCTATGGGGAAAGATTAGAGGAACTGAATTTATTCTCTCTTGAGAAGAGGAGATTAAGGGGGGATATGATCACCATGTATAATACATAAGGGGGGATATGATCTCCATGCATAATACATAAGGGGGGATATGATCTCCATGTATAAATACATCAGTGGTTCATATAGTGATTGTTGTAGAGTTATTCACCCTGAGGTCATCACAGAGGACAAGGGGGCACTCTGTACATCTGGAGGAAAAGAAATATAACCTCCAAACACGGAAAGGTTTCTTCACAGTGAGAGCTGCGAAAATGTGGAATAGACTCCCTCAAGAGTTGGTTCTGGCCAGCTCAGTGGATTGCTCTAAAAAGGCCAATATGGATCATACACGGAATATAACTGGATACTAACATTTATAAGTAAAGTTGATCCAGGGAATATCCGATTGCCTCTCGGGGGATCAGGAAGGAATTTTTTTCCCCGCAGGAGCAAATTGGACCATGCTTTGCTGGTTTTTTTTTTGCCTTCCTCTGGATCAACTGTGGGTATAGGATTATAACTTTTTTTTTTTAATGGTTAAACTGGATAGACGTTTGACTTTTTTCAGCCAGACTAACTATGTAACTATGTAAGGGGGAGTCTGATGAGAATTCTGATGTAAGGAGGGAATCTGATGGGGGCCCCAATGTAAAGAAGGACTCTGATGGAGACCCAATATAAGGGGGGGTGATGTAAGGGGTCTAGGGTGTGGTGGTAGATCGCGGACTGAAGGATTCTAAGAAGGATGCCCAGGGGTCTCTGGTGAAATGCAGAGTGTCCACCAAAAAAGAAAAAAGAGGCAGAGTGTAGTAGATTAATTAAGAAACAAGGATAAATTGCTTCCACAATAAAAGGAAAAAAACTGTTAAAATGGACTTACAACTGTTGAGGCTGCTGTCAGCCAGCAAGGGGTGGATCACACAGCCTTTCTAGTGTGCGGGTGGAGAAAACATGTGTCTATGCAAGGCCAGTGTGGTTGCTCTCTATTCCTCGGCATTCCCATTCTGGGTGCTCTGTGGGGTTCTCAGGTTAATGGATAGGTAATGTAGAAGGATTTTTCTCATCTCTGTGTATCACCTGAGGCTAGTCACTTCATTGGGTATACGGAAAGGGTTTACAACCACTTTTACATAGTACAAGACATAATGCATGTAATACGATCATCAAAATATGGAAAGGCAAGCACGTGAAATGTGAAGTCGCATCAAGCATTATTTTCATATGGAAACTCCAGTGATAACTCAGAATGTGTGGCAGCTCCAAAAAGGAAACACATGGATGGTAATTGTAGCTCCGGGAATTTAGAAGCAGTTGGCAAAAATCTGTTCAGGCGAACATGTTTACGATGGCTTTTTTTTTTTTTAAAAATGCAAAACACGAACAACTTAATAAAACATCTCTTTACTTTCTACCGCAACTTTTTTGGGAGGTGCGAGGCAATCTGTCTCAAATCCGGCCAGGTTGCATGAGCGAGGATAAAAAGTATTACGTGTTATTTCTACCCAAAACTTGCAGAGTTGTAAGTTGGAAAGGGTCTGTGTCTTGTCTTTTCTATTTGCCCTAGTGATCATTGTGACACTAGACAATATCCATATTCTCCAAAAATTATCCATACACATCTACTACTTAATGGACCTGTGATCTGTTTCATGAAATTATTTTTAATGCCTCCATGCAATGTCCCTCATGAGCTCCCCCTTGCTTTAAAATGAGCAGTGCACATTATTTGGGGTCATGTGCCCTGCTCTATGCACACTACATATCTTATAGTCCAGTGTTCCCCGAACGTTTAGGTACAAGGGACCAGTTTCATGACAGACAATTCTTCCAGGGCCGGGGGGGGGGATCAGCATTGGGGGCCAAGTCAGAACTCAGTCCTTCTTCACATCACAACCTCCTTTACAGCACAGTCCCCCTTCACATTACAGTTCTTCCTTTAAAGCAGCTCCACAGTGTCCTCAGTTCCCCTTCATATCACAGCCCCCTTTTACATTACAGTGCCCCTTTATAGTGCAGTCCTCTTTACATCACAGTGCCCCTGTAGAGTGCAGTCCCCTATATATCACAGTGCCCTTGTAGAGTGCAGTCCCCTTTATATCACAGTGCCCCTGTAGAGTGCAGTCCCCTTTATATCACAGTGCCCCTGTAGAGTGCAGTCCCCTTTATATCACAGTGCCCCTGTAGAGTGCAGTCCTCTTTACATCACAGTGCCCCTGTAGAGTGCAGTCCCCTTTATATCACAGTGCCCTTGTAGAGTGCAGTCCCCTTTATATCATAGTGCCCCTAGCAATTACAGTTCCCCCATCACAGTATCCCTTGCACTCATGCCTCTTTTACATCCCCCTCTTTCAATATATGCCTCCCCTGTACAGTCCTACCTTCTGCAGGGCAGAGGTGTTTAGCAGCCTTTGTGTCCTCTACTAGGTCTCAGCAGGGCAGGGGGCAGGAGGAGATGCAGATCTGGATGGAGGACAGGAGCTGCCAAACTTATGTTAACAAGAGGGTGATTACCCACTTGTTAACATCCAAAGACTCCTACTCTCTGTCCAGATCTGCAGCTCCTCCCACCCCCTGCTCTGCTGATAAGATGACATCGGCAGCCAGGTGGGAAACCAAGGAGAGGAGACATAGTTTGCTAAGCTGCACAGCCACAATCCGGGTCTAGACCACAGTTGCCGCTCAACTGCTGCTGTGCAGCCGCTTTCTGACAGGCCACGGACTGGGACTGGTACTGGTCCGTGGTCCGGGGTTAGGGTCCTCGTCCATAGTCCATCTTGGATGTGAGCAAAAGAGGGTGGCTGTGTGGCTATACAATGTGCCATGGAGAACAAACTTTTTTTGGTTATTTATTATTATTATTATTATTATTATTATACAGGATTTATATAGCGCCAACAGTTTGCTCAGCGCTTTACAATATAACGGGAGACAATACAGCAACAATACAGTTCAATACAAGAGGGATTTGAGGGCCCTGCTCCTTGTTAAACAATTTGTTTTGAAGCCCCTCCACCTCTCCAAACAGTACTTA